TGAGAGGTTCTATGGGCAGCTGTACACGTCATCGTTGGAGCCGCACGCAAGTGTGAGTAACGATCCAAGAGCGAGTCTTATCCGACATTATTCCGATGATATCCCGGACGTCAGTCTGAGCGAGATTAGAATGGCTCTCCAGCACCTTAAAAACGGCAAGGCCCCAGGCGAGGATGGAATTACAGCGGAGCTTCTGAAAGCGGGTGGAAGACCGGTACTTGAAGTCCTTCAGAAGCTCTTTAATTCCGTCCTCCATGGTGGCATTACACCGGAGGCGTGGAGCAGAAGTGCGGTGGTCTTGTTCTTCAAGAAAGGCGACAACGCTCTCTTGAAGAACTACAGACCGATTTCCCTTCTGAGCCGCGTCTACGTGCTGTTTTCGAGAGTCATTACGATCTCGCGCGCAGACTTGACGACTTCCAGCCTCCCGAACAAGCCGGTTTCCGAAAAGGCTTTAGCACCATAGACCACATACATACCCTTCGGCAAATATCAAGGAATACATGAATGAAAATAACCTCTGGGAATAAGGTGATCGCCACCATGCTGGTTTTATGAAAATTCATTTAAAATTGTATAAACAAAATTATTGCTAACAGAAATTATGTTTAAAAAAAAAGTTCCTCTGGGTTTCTTGCTGGTTTTTCCTAGGACAGATGTATTTTCAGAACCAGTGGTAAATAAGGAAATCACTTTCAATGAGTATTATGTAATAATCCATATTGAATAATAATCATTCTATTCTATTCTATAAGTGCGCGTGTTATCGTCAAAATTTGGCCGGCCGGACAAAGCGCGGTGACGTCATCGCCCCCGTCTCGCGGCTCTCTATAAGGGAACTTACTATTTCGCTCGCAATTTCGTGCGGTTCACTCATCGCTGTGATTATTATTTATTTTTAACTAAAAATATCACATGAGTATGGTATAGTCCCCGAGTGCCGCAGTAAGATTAAAAACCACCAAATAAATTGTTTTTTATGGTCCCATACTAGTCAAAGATCATAAAAAAGTAACGTGGTGTGTGTTGTGGGGTTGGGCAGGGACATGCTGCGCATGACGCCGCTGCACTGGGCGGCGGCGCGCGGGCACGAGGCGGCGGCGCGCGAGCTGCTGCGCCGCGGCGCCGACACGCGCGCGCGCTGCAAGTTCCGCAAGACGCCGCGCTGCCTGGCGCTGCGGGCGTGCGCCCAGCGCCTCGTGCGCCTGCTCGACGAGCACGAGCGAGCCGCCTCGCTGCGCCACCTGCCGCACAGTGAGCACACACACACACACACACTGCAAGTTCCGCAAGACGCCGCGCTGCCTGGCGCTGCGGGCGTGCGCCCAGCGCCTCGTGCGCCTGCTCGACGAGCACGAGCGAGCCGCCTCGCTGCGCCACCTGCCGCACAGTGAGCACACACACACACACACACTGCAAGTTCCGCAAGACGCCGCGCTGCCTGGCGCTGCGGGCGTGCGCCCAGCGCCTCGTGCGCCTGCTCGACGAGCACGAGCGAGCCGCCTCGCTGCGCCACCTGCCGCACAGTGAGCACACACACACACACACACTGCAAGTTCCGCAAGACGCCGCGCTGCCTGGCGCTGCGGGCGTGCGCCCAGCGCCTCGTGCGCCTGCTCGACGAGCACGAGCGAGCCGCCTCGCTGCGCCACCTGCCGCACAGTGAGCACACACACACACACACACTGCAAGTTCCGCAAGACGCCGCGCTGCCTGGCGCTGCGGGCGTGCGCCCAGCGCCTCGTGCGCCTGCTCGACGAGCACGAGCGAGCCGCCTCGCTGCGCCACCTGCCGCACAGTGAGCACACACACACACACACACTGCAAGTTCCGCAAGACGCCGCGCTGCCTGGCGCTGCGGGCGTGCGCCCAGCGCCTCGTGCGCCTGCTCGACGAGCACGAGCGAGCCGCCTCGCTGCGCCACCTGCCGCACAGTGAGCACACACACACACACACACTGCAAGTTCCGCAAGACGCCGCGCTGCCTGGCGCTGCGGGCGTGCGCCCAGCGCCTCGTGCGCCTGCTCGACGAGCACGAGCGAGCCGCCTCGCTGCGCCACCTGCCGCACAGTGAGCACACACACACACACACACTGCAAGTTCCGCAAGACGCCGCGCTGCCTGGCGCTGCGGGCGTGCGCCCAGCGCCTCGTGCGCCTGCTCGACGAGCACGAGCGAGCCGCCTCGCTGCGCCACCTGCCGCACAGTGAGCACACACACACACACACACTGCAAGTTCCGCAAGACGCCGCGCTGCCTGGCGCTGCGGGCGTGCGCCCAGCGCCTCGTGCGCCTGCTCGACGAGCACGAGCGAGCCGCCTCGCTGCGCCACCTGCCGCACAGTGAGCACACACACACACACACACTGCAAGTTCCGCAAGACGCCGCGCTGCCTGGCGCTGCGGGCGTGCGCCCAGCGCCTCGTGCGCCTGCTCGACGAGCACGAGCGAGCCGCCTCGCTGCGCCACCTGCCGCACAGTGAGCACACACACACACACACACTGCAAGTTCCGCAAGACGCCGCGCTGCCTGGCGCTGCGGGCGTGCGCCCAGCGCCTCGTGCGCCTGCTCGACGAGCACGAGCGAGCCGCCTCGCTGCGCCACCTGCCGCACAGTGAGCACACACACACACACACACTGCAAGTTCCGCAAGACGCCGCGCTGCCTGGCGCTGCGGGCGTGCGCCCAGCGCCTCGTGCGCCTGCTCGACGAGCACGAGCGAGCCGCCTCGCTGCGCCACCTGCCGCACAGTGAGCACACACACACACACACACTGCAAGTTCCGCAAGACGCCGCGCTGCCTGGCGCTGCGGGCGTGCGCCCAGCGCCTCGTGCGCCTGCTCGACGAGCACGAGCGAGCCGCCTCGCTGCGCCACCTGCCGCACAGTGAGCACACACACACACACACACTGCAAGTTCCGCAAGACGCCGCGCTGCCTGGCGCTGCGGGCGTGCGCCCAGCGCCTCGTGCGCCTGCTCGACGAGCACGAGCGAGCCGCCTCGCTGCGCCACCTGCCGCACAGTGAGCACACACACACACACACACTGCAAGTTCCGCAAGACGCCGCGCTGCCTGGCGCTGCGGGCGTGCGCCCAGCGCCTCGTGCGCCTGCTCGACGAGCACGAGCGAGCCGCCTCGCTGCGCCACCTGCCGCACAGTGAGCACACACACAACGTCATTCTCCTCACTGACTACACACAACACGTACACTCCTCCCTGACCACACAAGACACGTCGCACGCCTCAATTCCCACACACACAACGTCACAGTCTCACTGACCACACACAACACTGCCAAGCGTGACAACTATGCCAAAATTCCCCCCCATGTGGTATTCTATGCGGGAGGTCTATGTTCAGCAGTGGACTTTATAGCATGTAATGGTAATCGCGGTTTCTACTCTACATCACGTCTACTCCAACGGTTGTCACTGCGGCGATAGATTTGACCAGCCCGTTGCCACTTCATTATAAAAACACGGTACGCTATGTCGGTGACTTGGTTCTCCGGCTTATTTTTTTATTATGAATCTTTTCCACCTTTTTAGCCAAAAATTTTAGTCACCTGGTCGCCGAAAACTGTGAAGATGTGATTTTCTTTTAAGTTACCAAGCGACAACAAAACTTCCTAGCGATACGAGAGTATGACATATCGTTGCAAATTTTTTTGCTGATTTAAATGATGTACGGTGCGTGTTTAAGTTCGCGGAATGGAGGTGTGAGTGGAAATAAAAATCCAAATTTATTTTTCCTTTTCAATATGTTCACCTGCTACCCTAATACATTTTTCAAATCTTTCAATTAACTTATGGGTGGGTGTGGCAAAATTTCGAAGCCCACCTTCTGCAGAGCAGCCATCGCAACATGGCATCGCAGCATAAGGCGTTGTCGTGCAGAAGAAGGATTCGTTTGGTCAATTTTACCCTTCTTTTCTCGTTTATGGCTTCCTTCAATTGTTCTAGGATTGAAGCGTAGTAATTTCCGGTTATGGATACACCTTTATCTTTATAATTAATCAATAGGATTCCTTCTGAGTCCCAAAAGACTGTCGCCATGATTTTCCCAGCCGATTGTGCCACCTTAAATTTCTTGGGTGGTGGTGTGTCTTTTTTGTGCCAATGCACAGAGTCCTGTTTGGACTAAGGTTCATTGTTGAACTGTAATTCGAGCCAGCACTCCATCTTTGTCTTCCATACAGAGGTCCAAAAATGCATGAGAACACTCAACGCGCTGTTGCTTTTGAGGCGGCGTGAGCATTCTAGGCACCCATCTTGCGCCGGCTTTAGTCATGCCAAGATGGTCATGAAGAATTTTGAAAATGGTTGTATCTGATACTCCAACCATTTCTGCAAGCTGTTTTTCTTTAGGCGGACATCTTCTAATATTAAATTTCCAACTTTTTGAATAATTTCCGAAGTGGTCACATCGATCGGCTTTCCTGGCCGTGGGTCGTCTTCAAGTGACTCTCTGCCTTGTTTAAAAAGGGTATGCTACTTGTAAACCATAGTTTTACTTGGACAAGAGTCTCCGTAAACGAATGACATCTCTTCCATAGTCTGAACTGATTTTCCGCACTTGGTAAGAAACTTTATAACGGCACGGAACTCGATTTTCTTCATATTTCACAATTTCTTCCAGATTGACTTGTTTGGTTGACGATAACTCAAAGACTAATGATCTAAATACAATAAAATCCGGTAGTTATACTAATAATGAGTTGCTCAATTAGCACGAAATTCAGCGATGTCCCCACTTATTACCTAACTACCCATACCGCGAACTTAAAAATGCACCCTCGTATATAACTCAATATCGCCCAACATGCCGCTTGGTAATTATTGCCTTTCAATCGCCGATATATTCATAAAACAATAACCTTTCTTTTAGATTCACCAAAGGATGAAACGTCAGAGCAAAAAGAATTCGAAACCGTGCAACGTGAGTAACTTATTATATTCCCTTCTGCAGTTATGTAGGAGGTATTCTTGAAGTCATTAACATGATTAAACCACTTCTAGGAATACAAGAAATCCATCCAACAAAAGTAAAACAGCAGCAGCAAGAAAAAACTATCAAGATAGAGGCGAAAAGTGAGGTATATTAATGTTGATAGCTTTTAATTACGTTAGATTAAGGGTAAAATTAGATTAAGATCGATAAAAACTAATTTCAATTTGAAAGTTCTGAAAATTAAAAATTTATTTAATATCGTTTTTGACTTTAAAATAAAATATTTTGGACGTATAATTCGTTGTAGACCCTTGATATCGCTTTTTCTTCCTTCTTTTTCTACTTTCGATATTTAATTAACAGTGGCCATTAACTTACAATGGGTATTAAAATATATATGAGAGGTACTTTATGGAACAAGGAATATTCAACGGAGGTTTCCTAAGAAATTGCAATGATGATGATGATGGTGATGGTGACGACGAAGATGATGTTGGTGACGACGACGATGATGATGAAGATGACGATAATAATACTGCAAAAGTTTGTGAAGACAGAATACGATCTGGAAAATTATTTTTTCATTAGATTGATTTAAAAAAAGTTAGATAATTTATGAAATCTGAAGTATATGCAGTATACTTCAGATTTAATAAACGTCTGAGCGAGATTAGAATGGTTCTCCAGCACCTTAAAAACGGCAAGTACCCGGGCGAGGATGGAATTACAGCGGAGCTTTTGAAAGCGGGTGGAAAACCGGTACTTAAAGTCCTTCAAAAGCTCTTTAATTCCGTCCTCCATGGTGGCACTACTCCGGAGGTGTGGAGCAGAAGTGCGGTGGTCTTGTTCTTCAAGAAAGGCGACAACGCTCTCTTGAAGAACTACAGACCGATTTTCTGCTGAGCTGCGTTACGTGTTGTTTTCGAGAGTCATTACGAATCGTCTCGCATGCAGATTCGACGACTTTTAGCCTCCGTTTTGTTCGTCAATAAGCCGGTTTCCGAAAAGGCTTTAGCACCATAGATCACATACATATCCTTCGACAAATTCAAGAAGTCCGAGGAGTACAATTTGCTACATGTCTGGCGTATGTGGACAGTGTGGAGAAAGCCTTTGTCTCCGTCGAAATTTGGACGGTGCTGCAGTCCCTTCAGCGGTGTCAAGTTGACTGTCGGTATATCGAAGTGCTAAGTGTTTGTAGAGTAGGGCTATGATGGCTATCCGAGTACAGAACCAGAGTACGAAACCTATCCAACTGCAGAGAGGTGTAAGACAAGGTGATGTTATATCCCCAAAAGTCTTCACCGCTGCATTGGAAGAAGTTTTTAAGCTTCTGGACTGAAAAGGATACGGTATTAACATCAACGGCGAGTACATCACTCACCTTCGATTTGCCGACGATATAATTCTTATGGCAGAATCGCTGGAGGACCTAAGTACTATGCTCAATGACCTCAATTATGCCTCCCAACGGATAGGTCTTAAGATGAACATGGACAAAACAAAGATCATGTATAACATCCATTTTACACCTATGCCGATAGTTGTTGGGAGCACTAAGCCTGAAGTTGTTGACGAGTATGTTTACCTGGGACAATTAGTCCGGCTAGGTAAGTCCAACTTTGACCGTGAGTTCAGTCGACGGATTCAAATCGGCTGGGCAGCGTTCGGGAAATTACGGCACATTTTCTCATCAGATATACCTCAAAACTAGATTGTACAATCAGTGCGTATTGCCAGTAATCACCTATGGATCTGAGACGTGGTCCTTCACTGTTGGCTGTATGAGGAAGCTTAAAGTCACTCAGCGAGCTATGGAGAGGGCAATGCTTGGCGTTTCTCTGCGTGATAAACATAAAAACGAGAATATCCGCAGTAGAACCAGAGTAACCGACATAGCTCAAAGAATTAGTATGCTGAAGTGGCAATGGGCCGGCCATTTAGCTCGGAGAACCGACAACCGATGGGGAAAAAAGGTTCTCGAGTGGCAGCCTCGTACCGGCAGGCGAAGTGTAGGGCGTCCCCCCACTAGACGGAGTAACGACCTGGTAAGACATGCAGGAAGTCAATGGGTGCCGGTGGCTCGGGACCGTGCTCTGTGGCATTCCTTCGGGGAGGTCTATGTTCAGCAGTGGACTTGTGAAGGGCTGTAATATCATCATTTATGATGATGATGATGATAATGATGATATGCAGTAAAGATTTACAATCTACATTTTTTTAATTCGACTGTCAAGATAATCCATATTTAAAGTAGCGAGAGAACCTGAAAAAATTTATCATTTTGTTTTTCCTGTCAAACATTGGTCAAAAAGTGAATATACGTCGATTACGACGTCGCGAATATAACAGAAAAGCGTTTCTCGAGGAGTTACATAATAATTAACAACACAAAACAAATTAAAAAATAGCTTGATAGCGATCACCTCATTCCTAGTTCCTATTATGAAGTATTGATTTACGGTAGAACACAATATTTATTTCATAAATTTTCTAAGCTTGGCGGAAGTCAGAATTTGTAAGTTTTCTGGGATAATCGAATGAAGAACGTCATTTGTAGGGACGAAATGGGGGAGCTGAGGCTTTGCTGCGGCGGCACGGCATTACTTTGCTTCCTACTGACGATGGCAGCACAGTACTGAGTGCGCTGCAGAGTGGACGCACCGTCGTGCTATCTGGTAAGCGCAAGTCCTGGGTTGGACCCAGCTTGGACCAACATTTTTTGAAGTGAATACGCTTGTTTATAAAATCGTGATTTGGAATTCGATGAAACGAAAAGGTGAAACTAAAAAGAGACAAACATATACATCTATCCTATAGAATATCTTCTCTGCTATCTCTATCTTAGCCTGCGAGAGAGAATAAGATAGAATACAGTCTACAGTTATTATTAATCTATTTATATTCCTATTACACAAACTCTACAATTATTCTACTCTGGATATTCTGCATTCGTCTCATTCTCTTGAAGTTTAGTTCTATGAAGGTTTCACTTCTACCGTGTGTGAACGGCACACATGTTTCTTTTTAAATACTTAGAATAAGGCTGACAAACGAACACAGAGTCCACCCGATGGTAAGTGGATGCCTGTAGACATCTACATATGTCCTCAATTAAGAATCAAAATGCAGATGCAATTTTACCCCTGAGGACTAAGATAGAATGCCTTGTTTCCAGTAAAAAGGGTCTTCGGTTCTCTACACTCACCATACGAACCACAGCAGCGTTAAGCTGCTATTATACGCTGGTATTCTGTGAGAGCGTGGTCCTTCCCCGGTCGAGCCGACCCATTCGTGCTACAACCATAATATATAGCTGCAGCGTGGCTTTACCTATTATAAATAAACATATGCGATTAAATACAAATCGGTATCTTAATCTGGTTGTATTTCTTTATTTATGATTGCATAAACCGGGTTCGGGGTAAATAGAATGAGTGGGTGTGTTAGCGTGTACACTTGACACCATTTTGTTTGTTCAGTTGACATCATTACCACATGATTTTTTTTATAGAATAAGGATGACAAACGAACACACAGACCACCCGATGGTTAGTGGTTGCTGTGGCCCATAGACATATACATTTTATCCTCAATTACGAATCAAAATGCAGATGCGTTGTCACCCGTGAGGACTAAGATGGAATGTCTCTTTTCTAGTAAAAAGGGTCTCCGGTTCTCTACACTCACCATACGAAATACAGGAGCATTAACCTGCTATTTTACGCTGGTATTCTGTGAGAGCGTGGTCCTTCCCCGGTCGAGCCGACCCATTCGTGTTACAACTATACCAGAAATATACCTGCAGCATGGCCCTACCACATGATGGCGGATTAAGAGAATTATATTTACCTACTTATACCCTGTTTCATCCTGCCGTGTAGTGGCGGTCAAGAATACCACTACCCCATATCCTCCCGTGGGTGTCGTAAAAGGCGACAAAGGGAAACAGGCAGGAGATGGGCAGCAGCATCTTCCTGATAGTAGCCAAAATTACAATAAAAAAACTGCGGTTGCCAACCCGCTCGCCAAGCGTGGCAACTATGGCAAATACCCCCCTATGAATGTAACAAAGAGACGGCCCCCAGTCCCCGGCGGCCCCGCTATTCCTGGCTACGGTGGCGACCATGGTAACGGCGGGGCAGGGGGTGCTAAGAATCTCCGGTGGAGGTTCGGTTGCCACCTTAGACGACTCGACCTGGCAACGTACAACGCACGCACCCTGAGGACTGACGAGAAGATCGTGGAGCTGGAAGAAGAGATAGACAAGTTGCGCTGGCATATTATAGGATTATCCGAAGTCCGAAGAGAGGGGGAGGACACGGTAATCCTCGAATCCGGCAACTTGCTCTATCACCGGGAGGGCGACCATCTGTCCCAAGGAGGTGTCGGATTTATCGTCCACTAGTCTCTCGTTAACAACGTTGTAAAGATCGGGAGTGTGTCGACGAGGGTTGCGTATCTTATACTCAGAATCACTAAACGGTATTCGCTGAAGGTCATACAGGTTTACGCACCAACCTCGGCACACCCCGATGGGGAGGTGGAGGAAATGTATGAGGATATCTCTAGAGCCATGCATTCCTCCAAAACCCAATATACGGTGTTAATGGGAGACTTCAATGCAAAACTAGGCACAAGAGAGAACGGTGAGCTGAAAGTAGGGAAATTTGGAATAGGGCAACGGAACCCAAGGGGCCAGCAGCTGGCCGACTTCATGGAGAAAGAGGGACTCTTTATGATGAACTCTTTCTTCCAGAAGCGGCCCCACAGGAAGTGGACCTGGTCGAGCCCCGACGGTTCGACAAAAAATGAGATTGACTTCATTATGACGACCAGACGACAACTGTTCAGTGATGTCTCCGTGATCGCGAGGGTGAAAACTGGTAGCGATCACCGAATGGTTAGAGGCACACTGAACCTAAACGTTAAGTTGGAGAGGTCTCGTCTAATGAAGTCAACGCTCCGTCCCCCTCGTGCTCTGTTCCAAAGTCCCGAAACCTTTCAGCTCGAGTTACAAAACCGTTTTCAGTGCCTAGAAGACTGCAATGAAGTGGACGATATGAATGACAAGCTCGTGGAAACTGTCCATGCGGTCGGAGCTAAGTTCTGCAAGACCCGCCGCAGAAGAACACAAAAACTCTCCGATCACACTCTTAATCTCATGGCTGTTAGACGGGAGATGAAGCTACAGTCTTCAACAGACTTGACAGCATACAGGCATCTGAACAGACAGATCTCCAAATGCATGCGGCGGGACTTACGCAACTTCAATACAGCTCGTATTGAAGAAGCGATCGAGCGGAACCAAGGCTCCAAAGTCTTTGCCAGAGATCTGTCTGCCAGAAAGAGCCACCTGTCAAAGCTGAAGACAGGATGTGGCAGCATCGTTTCCGGGACATCTGAGATTTTGAGTGAGATTGAGAGGTTCTATGGGCAGCTGTACACGTCATCGTTGGAGCCACACGCAAGTGTGAGTAACGATCCAAGAGCGAGTCTCATCCGACACTATTCCGAAGATATCCCGGACGTCAGTCTGAGCGAGATTAGAATGGCTCTCCAGCACCTTAAAAACGGTAAGGCCCCAGGCGAGGATGGAATTACAGCGGAGCTTCTGAAAGCGGGTGGAAGACCGGTACTTGAAGTCCTTCAGAAGCTCTTTAATTCCGTCCTCCATGGTGGCATTACACCGGAGGCGTGGAGCAGAAGTGCGGTGGTCTTGTTCTTCAAGAAAGGTGACAACGCTCTCTTGAAGAACTACAGACCGATTTCCCTTCTGAGCCGCGTCTACGTGCTGTTTTCGAGAGTCATTACGAATCGTCTCGCGCGCAGACTTGACGACTTCCAGCCTCCCGAACAAGCCGGTTTCCGAAAGGGCTTTAGCACCATAGACCACATACATACCCTTCGGCAAATTGTACAGAAGTCCGAAGAGTACAATTTGCCACTATGTCTGGCGTATGTGGACTATGAGAAAGCCTTTGATTCCGTCGAAATTTGGGCGGTGCTGCAGTCCCTTCAGCGGTGCCAAGTTGACTGTCGGTATATCGAAGTGTTGAAGTGCTTGTACAGTAGGGCTACGATGGCTATCCGAGTACAGAACCAGAGTACGAAACCTATCCAATTGCAGAGAGGTGTAAGACAGGGTGACGTCATATCCCCGAAACTCTTCACCGCTGCATTGGAAGACGTTTTCAAGCTTCTGGACTGGAAAGGATACGGTATCAACATCAATGGCGAGTACATCACTCACCTTCGATTTGCCGACGATATAGTCCTTATGGCAGAATCGCTGGAGGACCTAAGCACTATGCTCAATGACCTCGATAGTGTTTCCCAACGGATAGGTCTTAAGATGAACATGGACAAAACAAAGATCATGTTCAATGTCCATGTCACACCTATGCCGGTAGTTGTTGGGAGCACTAAGCTCGAAGTTGTTGACGAGTATGTTTACCTGGGACAAATAGTCCGACTAGGTAAGTCCAACTTCGACCGAGAGGTCAATCGACGGATTCAACTCGGTTGGGCAGCGTTCGGGAAATTACGGTACATCTTCTCATCAGGTATACCTCAAAACTTGAAAACCAGTCTGTACAACCAGTGCGTGTTGCCAGTGATGACTTATGGAACTGAGACGAGGTCCTTCACTGCTGGCCGTATGAGGAAGCTCAAGGTCGCTCAGCGAGCTATGGAGAGGGCTATGCTCGGAGTTTCTCTGCGTGATAAACTTAGGAATGAGGATATCCGCAGTAGAACCAGAGTAACCGACATAGCCCAACGGATTAGTAAGCTGAAGTGGCAGTGGGCCGGCCATATAGCTCGAAGAACCGACAACCGATGGGGAAGAAAGGTTCTCGAGTGGCAGCCTCGTACCGGTAGGCGAAGTGTAGGGCGTCCCCCCACGAGATGGAGTGACGACCTGGTAAGACATGCAGGAAGTCGATGGATGCAGGTGGCTCAGGACCGTGCTTTGTGGCATTCTTTGGGGGAGGCCTATGTTCAGCAGTGGACTTGTGAAGGGCTGTAATGATGATGATGATGACCCTGTTTCATCCGGTGGGTGTCGTAAGAGACGACTTAATTATATGACAGACAGATCTTGTCACTTCCGATAGATTGGGGTATAACTACCTCGTTTACACCAAGAGTAAAGTACCAACGATGGGGAACAGCGTGATGAGTGTGTAACATTACTGCAATCTGCCAATCGTGATTACAGTTTGAGAGTTTCATGTTCAGAATTGAACTTTTATAAAAATAAAAGTAAATACGAGATTTTCCCACATTAAAAGCTAAGCAGTTATTTAATTAAAAATATGTCGTTAATGTCAAAACTATTTTACAAAGAGTATATAATCACCATTTTGGATTTTATTCAATTTAAACGTCTTATATACGTTCCGTCTTGCTGTACGTCACGCCAAGGTCATGCACGACGCACGACGCATGACCTTGGTGGGGCGTGCAGCAAGATGGACAATGAATAAGGAATTTTAGGCTTGTTTGAAGCTCTTATGACCGTCAAAACTACACCGGTTCGCAAAAATAACATGTACTAAGAGAAGAATCGGCAAAAAATTGTGGTGTGTGTAAATAAGATTTTAAATGGCATGTTATAATTTCTATTAAAACTCTTAATAAAAATAATCCAAAGGCAAATGTTTATCAATATTCAATTTTACTGTTTTATGCTGTCTTCAGATGCGGGGAAACTGATGTTAAAAGAGAGCGGCGCTTTAAACACCTCAGTCAATTTAACTCCGAAAAGAAGCACAAGTGGAGCAAACGTTGTAACAAGTATAGGAATTGTTAGTAGTGCGGGTGGCGTTAGTAATACTGGGGTCTGTAGCTCAGTGGGTGCTGGCTCCACGGGGGGCATTAATGTGAGTGCGGGCGTGGGGGGTGCGACGTCATTGGGGGGTGCGGTGTCAGTGGGGGGTGTGGCGGCAGCTGGGGGTTCGGGGGGTGTGGTTTTGACTGCGAAGGCGGTTAAGTCTCCACCGCGAGCCGGCCTCAAGGTGTTCACGCTGAACGGCCTCACCAGCCTCGCCAACTTGCCAACCACACCGATCCGGAGAGTCATCAACCCGCAGGATTTGCAGGTCAGTAGCTACTTAGTAATTGTCTAATTTACAAAAATAAGTTAGGTCACAAATATTAAAGTTAATAAGTGGTGGGAAAAAAAAAACTGCCATGATGAGCAAAAACGTATTATATTAATGTTTATTTCATGTTAATGGCATGGGACCTATTTATAATAAATTACTAATAATAATTTATAGACTTCAAACAGGAAAGGCTACAGATGTGTTGACATCTCTTAAGAACTAAGTGTGAAAGCCTCACAGTCTGTAATTATACTGGCTCTACACCCTTCTACACTAGTGTTGCCAGACATTTTAAACAAACGATCGTACGATGGGTAAATGAAAAGTCGTATTCCCTAGAAAATTATTAAATAAAAATAGTACTTACGTTTTTTTAAACTTTGTTTTATTAAATTATACAAAAATTGAGAATTAAAAACTAAAAATTATTAGTCTTTATCCCCATATAAGCTACGAGGACTAGGGCGACTCGGCCCTGCTGTTAAATGTACGTCCTTCAATATAAATAAAAAACTATTGATATTTTTAATCAAATACGTGCTATCAAAAAAGTATCAAACTGTTGATAACTGTTCTCAAGAACGACGAGAAAAAATCTGTGAAGATAAGTAAACAAACAAGACGCATGCTTACCAAAATTATATAATACTGCCGAGGTACGTATACTATTATATTCACCTATTCACTTGTATCAAAACAAAAAAATAAAAGCGATTCTCAAATTGGTCGGGTTTGATTAGTATTTTAACGTCAGGGAAATCCCCTACTAGTGATGTGGTTACTATCACATAAAAATATAGTGAAGTAAGTAATGGTTAAGTAGTTAATACGGTTATATTTTTAGAAAATGTGAAAAGTTATGAATTGATACAAATAAATTAAAATGTTTCACACTACATGTGCGGTAAAAACTGTGGGTCGTCCTTATTTAAAGATAAGGAATTAGTTTAATCAGTTTACACACATACATTAATTTGTTTAAATGTGAAATAAAATAAAATAAGTTTTTATTTTTTTATTACTTCCCGTTCTGACAACCTTAGCAATTTATTGTCTATGTCGGCTTTTCATACAACATCAAACGCGATGACTGACTGTATGTTCTTATTAGGCTGTGCGGGAACACAGCAGTGCCCACACTGCTATTTCACAGTAGAAATAGGTAAGAGGGTAGTACCTACCTACACGGAATTAAGCAGAAGAGGAGTCCCACTACCTTAAAATAGTCTTCAGCTAAAGCTAAAAATCCATCATCCCATTTCGTTTCGTGGGTGTCGTAAAAGACTACCAATGCAAACGAGATTTTTTTTGTCACACGTAAGATACTGGTGACGCGAAGGTGCGAAACGTCTGATAGTGCTGTCGTTAATCTCCGTGCCATATGTGGCGATTACACAAAAACTCTTAACGGGAGAGGCTCATGTCCAGCAGTAACCTTAACGGGTGAAGAAGAAAGGAGATTGTCAGAACCCACAAGATGTTCTTGTTATTTCTGCTTTTCTGCTATATTGATGAAGTTCTACATTTTTTTTATAGAATAAGGGTGACAAACGAGCACACAGTCAACCTGATGGTAAGACTATGCTGTGGCTCACAAGACATCTACATCTATCCTCGATTAAGAATGAAAATGCAGATGATTTGTCATCCCTGAGGACCTAAATCCTCCCATCTTAATGGAATGCCTCGTTTCCAGTAAAAAGTGTCTCTGGTTCTCTACACTCACCATAGTAAACACAGCAGCATTAAGCTGTTATTTCACCCCGGTATTCTGTTAGAGCGTGGTCCTACCTACCTACCTACCGACCCATTCGGGCTACAACAATAATATAGCTGCAACGTATCTCTACCACTCATAAACACTACAGTATCATTTAGTAATTATATTTTTCGTTACACATTGTAATACTAAAGGATTGATTATTTCAGCAAGTGAAGATCGTGAAACTACCACCCGACGCCACAATTATATCTCCCTCCAAAGTGTTGCCTTTGAAGGCGAAAAAGAAAATTTCCCAACGGACCCCCGTCAAGATCGTTATGAACAAGAGTAACTTTGAGAAGCTTATTGCTACTGCGAATAAGACAACAGTGGTGAGAAACAGTGCCTTTATTACTACGTTTTTGAGGTTATACTTCTTTTGGGGTGTTTGGGAAAATTGATGAGAGTGAATATTTACACGCGCGCGCACACCGACTCCTAAAAACGACAACTTCAGCGTGTAATTGTCTCTCAAGTTTTTTGTTTCGTTACGATAAAGAAGTATAACTTCTTACATGCGTACATAAGTACACACACACACACACACACCCTTTTTTATTTACGTTCTTTGTGTGTGGTGTAATTTTGACATGTTTTTAACAGAACTAGGGTGATAATTAATACATAGTCTACCTGATGGTACGCGGATGCTGTGTCCATAATCATTGACAACTATCCTCTATTAAGAATCAAAATGCAGATTCGTTGTCAATTCTGAAAACTTTTTTATTTTAGTCTTTAGAAAAACGTTACCGTCACACTAGGAGTTTCTCAGATTACATACATAAATTTTACAAGGAAAAATATCCAGACTCAGAACAATTATTTGTAGGCCATACGAATACTGGTTTTGTGCGGGATTCGAACCTGTGGTAATCGAGACAATCGACTAATATAGAATTTCTTGTACATTTTACGCTGGTATTATGTTAGTGTGGTTCTGCTCTATATTATTTCTTTAGTACGTAAAAATTGTGACGTTTGAGTTTAAAATCGAGATTGTTTTTGAAAATCGGTTTAAGCCTAATCATTGTGATAAATGTGGTTTAAGATTGGGAAATAAATTTCATTTACTGAGAAAAATAAGAGAAATGAAAAAAAATTGAAAAGTAAAGTATAACATATGCGTGGATTAACGTTTAGTATTAAATATGAATATAAATTTTTGCACAAAATATAAAAAGACATGAGTGTATTGTTATTGTTATAAGTTGCGGCATGTAAGTCTAGCGTTGTAAGAAATGTGAAGCGGACGTGTACGAATCGAATTTTGCGAATGTGATTAGAGAGAGTTAATCAGCACGTTTGAACGATATGCACGAGCCAATTAGGGCGACTTTGCGTAATAACGGTCGTCGCTAGATTTTCGTGCCGCTACATATATGTTACATTATTTTGAAGTTTTATGTTGAATTTAATGAAATTATGTTTTATGGTTTATTTGTCATAGTTGCTATGTTTGGTAAGTGGGTGGGAAACCGTAGTTTTTATTTTTAGTTGTTATTAGGAAAACACTGTCGTTCATTTTGTGATTTCTTTCCTTTTGGCGTTTTTAGGACATCTACTAGATGTTATTGGGCAGTGGGTATTATTATATCGTTTTTACATGGTGACAGGATAGAATGTAATTTAATAATACTCCAAGTAAATATAAAAAAGTGACTTTTAAGAAGTATTATGTAGTTATCTTTAGTGAGTAAGAAGCATTCCATATTTTTTTGTTTTGTTTTTTACGACAGACGAGTGCAGCGAGTGAAGTTAGTGGTTCAGGGTTTGTCGGGCAAGGTGTGGTGAGTGGGGGGCTCGCGGATGTTGTGATAGATGAGAGTGCGGGCAATGAGGTGTCTGGGGAGACGGGCGAGGCGGGCGAGGCGGGCGAGGTGGGAGAGGCGGGTGTGGAGGGGGGCGCGTGGTGCGCGCGCTGCGCGGCGTGCGCGTGCGGCGGCGCGGCGCGGCTGGCGGCGGCCGAGCGCGCGCTGCGCCGCCTGGCCGCCGACCTGCACGCCGCACGCGCCGCGCAAGCTCACGCGCAATGAACACCCGCTCCACACTAAACCTGGACGCACATTTGTCACCGCCGTACCCATCGCACCCGCCGCGTCGTATCGCGTCATCACCATACATCCTTCAATAAGCGACAATAGCCTATTGGCAGGGTTCGGACCGCTAACTAAAAAGATCGTGAGTTCAAATCTACCATTCGACTACTGTCGTGAACCACTACTAACACAAGCATTTTAAGCTTATAAAGAATGGTTAAAAGAAATATTAACAATGTTCATAGCATTACTATTATTTTTAATTAAAAAACACGTTCGAGTACCTGTCGTATTATACCGAGTGACGATAAAGTTATCACATTAAATGAAAAGACGTATCCTACATATATTTCTTTAAACATACACAACTAAAAAAATATAGAACAATTAATATTTTTGTCGCCGTAGCATTTATTTCGTTTTAATATTAAATAACATCATGTAAATGCATACAGATATCACCTGATGAATACTAGAAGGTCAAAGACTTATGGCGTTCGAATGCGAATATACCTAGTTAAACGTTGCCAATTCAAAATACTCAAATAAAGAAATAGTCAAGCAAAAAATGTACTTATAGCTAATAATTTAAGGCATAATATTATGCGCGAAATTAAAAACAAAGGGACCGCGCGCTGTGGGTGTGTAAAAACAAATTCAAGCTAAAAATTAACTTAAAACGAAGAATTTAAGGCATAATTCTCTATGCGCGAAGTGACAAGAAATGGGACGGAGTGTCTTAATTCATATTTACGTCTGGCACGTGCGACCGATCCGATAGTCCGACGCCGGCGTCCATGGGGATGGTTCATGAGTCGCTTGACCTAATTTTCGTTTTTAAGTTTTAACACGTCCTTTAAGTTTTAATTGTTGTTTTTTTTTGTTTTTGTGGACATTTTAATAAGTTTCTTAATTTGTTTGTGATAGGACACGTTAATAATACGCTAGATTAGATATTTAATAACTTAGTGGTGTGACAGCCCATGCACAATTGCATGCTTTTATTTTTTTAACGTCTTAACTTTTTTTAAATTTTAAGATGCTTTGTATCACAATTTCACGTCGTCAGAATACACCGACATGATGTTTTTTTCAAAATTTGATTTGTTTTGATTATTAAACTTGAGTGATTTCAAGATTAAAGTGATTATTTGGATAAAAACAATACCATGAAATTTCGTTGATAACATCGGATTAGCATCGCCCTACGCGCGCCTAATTATCTATGTATGGTCAAGTGTAGGTATTATAATTACCTATGTCCATATCACGTGAGCACTGAGCGCTGTTGCCAGTTTTACAGGTCGCTTCAGGTCAGTAAACTAATATTATCAAGGATGATTTATTTCTTGTCAATTTTTTACGCTATTTATTTTGTTTGAAAAATGATTTTTTTATTTTCTTTTATTATTGTTTATTTTATTATTTTAACAGACATATATAAACTTGTATTAACTGCTGTGCTATTTAACGTGATAACCTAGGCGCCACCCAGTATATAAAACGACGCGTACGGTGCGGGGGTTTAATATGCGAGATTTCATATGATTTCATACAACGAATTCTTAAATACAGCACATACGGTGCTGACAAATGTGCGTTCAACTTAACATACCGCATCGGACCGCAACACAACGCACCGCATCGCACAATGGGCCGCCGGTCTCCAACTCCGGACTCGACAAAGACTCTCCAAACTCAATAATCCTGCATCAAGCTACCACTTACTAGTTAATAACATCATCAAAATGTGTTTAACTTTATACTGTTATTGCTAATGATCACTCATGCTTGTACATTTCAAAAAATTACGAATGGTCCAATGGTTTATTGCAGACATTTTTTTTTAATAATAGTAATAAGAAATGTAATTTATTCCAATTAACATTATTTACTTATAACATGTCACTGATAAATTCATCGTAACCGCCATAAAGGAAAATTAACAAGAAATGAGTGATCCCACTTTACCCAAATAACACTAAAACAAGTGTATATCACTATAGGACACGGTTTATATAAGCAAGACGTCGATAAGGAGACATATTTCTAATATTAAATGATATATTACTCTCTACTCTTATTTTACAATCAACACTAATATAATATATCATATAGACTATGAACTGTAATCATCACTACATAAGTAAGAACTATCAAATGAAATGAAACTTACTTATATGCAGAAACACAGTATTTAAGAAGTTATTTAACACCTTTCATGTCAACATATTTGCGATTCCACACAAATGAAATTAATAAATATTTTCTTAAAAGGAATACATCAAACTTACATTTCATTTCACGTATCAATTATTAGGTATAAGTGGCGTTAAAAATGTTACAATCAAAATTTTATTTTTTATTTAATCAGAAACACCTGCAATAAATCCTTAAATTTATGAACACTTCAAAGACCACGTTGATTTATTTTATCGCTCTCCTGTAAAACTAAATTATAATCCTTATTCGGTTTTCAAATGGGACAGCCGAAGTATTCATTTAAATTATTTAGTTATTGATTTTACATTGTCATCACATTTTGATAACATGTCATGGTGCTATGCAAAGTAACAATTAGTAAGTGAAGTTGTCATTAAACCTAAGCCTATTATAAAATCGTCAATTAACTTTAAATAACCGTTATTCCCATATTTATAGTTCGACCATAATATCTTTGTCACTACACAGACTGTTTACTAACAGTAGAAATTTACATACCGTAAAAATGCATAAATATTGACTCTAACACTTAGAAATTCAAACGAAAAATTTCAAAAAATAGTTTCTCAAAAGAATTAAAATTAAAAAAATTAAAAGTATAGAACATAACAAGTTGGTATCAACTTGCACATAAAATATCGATATCTTTAAGTGACAACACTATTCGTCAATTTTTTATTAGGACTTGGCTTGGATACTTGTTCTTTAAGCCTTGTCTTCATTTTATCTCAGTATCAAGTGATAATAATCCTTTATAGTATTTTGCTTCACAATATGTTCATGCGTCACGTTGCGTAGTTTTGGGAGATTTTGACGGCAACTTGAGCCAGCAGACAGTTGGCGATAGTATCTCAAGGCGCCTAAACAGACAGATAAGGTATCTTATCTTGAAATTCACATCACCATCGGAGCATTTGTTTCACCATTTCTACTAAAATAGTCCACATATGCACACATTTAATACTCATAATCGCATCACTTCTACGTATCAAAATTCACTTCAAACCATTATTTAAACAATAATACAGGAACAGCAATCCGCCGCCGCTCAAGTTCCCGCCAAAACTCTATTCGTTACTAATAGATAACTATAACATAAGTATAATCACAGAGTTGATTTTTGTATTACAACACATTCAGTGTCTTGAATATATGTAGCGTAAGTATTTTAAATCTTAAAAGATATGATGTTGATGTCTTTAATAATGTAATTATCTATAAATATTTTTAACGAACTCTTTATATAAAGAATAAAATTATATTCAGACAACAACAGTTTTTTCCTTGTGCCACATTTAATAGGCTGTGTTTAAGATATTTCTATGTGCGAATTTGTGTAAATCACAGACATTATAAAGCATATCGCAGATAGTTAGCTAGGTACCTAGTCCCTAGTATCTTAATATTTGAAATCAGTATCACTGATTACTACTCTGTGATTTGAGTTATAAACCATTGTTTTTTTGTAAACGCACAGATTAAAACAAAATTATTCGAGTTTACTTACTTCTCTGTTATATTTTTATACGTATGTCTACTATTAATAATAAAAGTATAATACTAAGTCTATGTTAAATATAGTTTGGAAGCATAAACAACGCTATTTGTTTTTATTGACGTAACTTTTTTGTAATATTTTGCCCTACAGGGAAGGAAAAGGGATCCTGTCGTACAGTTATGAACGTGATACAAACGCATTCATCTAATTAGTTAAAGAGAAGTCTTAGAGTATTAATAAGCAAGTTAGTTTGCTTATAAATACTCGTAAAGTTAAATCGTTTTGTATGAAAAATAATCGTGTTGTGTGTACTGTCTTTTACTTTTGTGCCTGATTTGATGTCAGGTAGGTACGCACATCATGATTTTCTGTACCTCTATGGCACAGTACTTTTCGCATGATTAAGTTTAAGTTTCCTTTTCTTTTATAATAAATTAAAAAAGTACTTTTAATTCCCAAGTTCACGTACTATTATAATGACGATGTGATTGTTTTTGTTAAGGACGATTGTGATAGTGACTTGCATCAAGTATTATAGTTATATATCGGTACAATGTACTCTTTTAATACAAGCAAAATGTTTTTGTTATTTTTTTTCTATTTTTGTATAAACGTAAACTATGTAATATTATGTTGATTTTTTTTGTATCATATAAACATTTTAAATTAAACTATTATTTTATTTATTGTACCTAACCATGCAAGTGAGATGTCCAATCATTATTTGTCACAAGTAACTTGAGTATCATATTGGCTGTGTCTTATATAAATGTTCTCGTGGATTTCAGCAGTCAGTTGATTAGATTGGTGGTATAAGATTGTAATTTAAACCATGGGCGTAGTTAGGAAGGAGCACAGGGCGGCCTCTCTATTTTTTTTATGGAACATCTGCTACACTATAGTGATCGCAGTTGCGTTGCCGGCCCTTCAAAAAGGAAAGGTAGTGTGAACTTGAGTGTCTTCACATAGATATATGTATAAATTTCATAGCTCTAGTAGTGCTTTAACAAGGTATGTTTTTTGTGTCTCTTGAAAAATGTTGGATACGCCCATGATTTTATCAAAAGCAATTATATTCGTTAAACACTCAAATTATTAGATACTTTCGAACATATTGTTGAGCTTTTCCAACACAACGTCCAAACTATTCTTTGATTTAATTGCATAGCCGTTGCATACAAAATAGAAAGTTTATAATGACTGAGTGATTCATACATAAACAATATTGTCTAAGGAAAGGAAAAGTTTAGAAATACCGCCGGGCAAGGTATACAGT